CAAAACATTTTGTTTTACGTGGATATTGGAACGCGAGTGAAGTACATAATAAATAATAATTTGCCATTCAAATATATCGCGAATAAGGAAACATTTGATTTTGTGAGGAATGAGAGACGCAACGTTGGTTTCAGTTTCGTTTTAACCTAAATTAATTTGTTTTGGCTTGTCATTTATACTGCTATATGTTGCTATTCTTGTTCTTTTCTAAATACTGTTAATTGAAAGGTTTTGTTGTGGAGTGAGGGGAACTAAAATAGCCTAGCTATGTTTACAGTGTTTATTATAATGTTTGTAAACATTTCGCGTCGGCATTAGGCCTATTTCTGAATGAAATAATAAAATGCGACTTATACGTGACTTGTTTTTTTCCCCCCTAAAAAACTAATTTTTTAGACGCGTTGCGTATTTTAACCATGCAGCATACCGCTTTAAATATTTTGATAAATTACTGAAAAAATAAATAATTAAATGACTTTTTAAACCGTTTAACTGATTGTATTAATCGGTCAAAATTCTTACCGTCGGTCAACCGCTTAAATGGTTAAAATGAACATCCCTAGGCCTCAGACATCATCATGAGCAAATTACACAACTTGAGCCTTGTTAAAGTAAATAAAATAATAAATAAATTTTCATTTTCAGAAAAACAAACACATAAGGTTTTGTTGTGGAGTGAGGGGAACTAAAATAGCCTAGCTATGTTTACAGTGTTTATTATAATGTTTGTAAACATTTCGCGTCGGCATTAGGCCTATTTCTGAATGAAATAATAAAATGCGACTTATACGCGACTTGTTTTTTTTCCCCCTAAAAAACTAATTTTTTAGACGCGTTGCGTATTTTAACCATGCAGCAAACCGCTTTAAATATTTTGATAAATTACTGAAAAAATAAATAATTAAATGACTTTTTAAACCGTTTAACTGATTGTATTAATCGGTCAAAATTCTTACCGTCGGTTAACCGGTTAAATGGTTAAAATGAACATCCCTAGGCCTCAGACATCATCATGAGCAAATTACACAACTTGAGCCTTGTTAAAGTAAATAAAATAATAAATAAATTTTCATTTTCAGAAAAACAAACACATCCACAAACAAATAGATGAGATTTATTAATGCCAGCAAAACAAATTTGAACACTGAATCGTCCTGTGGGGGAACTGGTGTGTGGTTTCTGTTATCCTTAAATAAGCTCCTCAAGGAAATTAACTTCAGATGAGGCATAAAACATCACCCACACCCTGCAGACATGACATCAGGCTAGTCCTGACTCAACCTTCAGTGGGTGTTCCTCAGCATGAAGAGGAAAAAGTCAAGGATGATGGTGTCATAGCAGTTCTGATTCATCTTTGTGCTGATCCTGCTTTAGTTTGTTGACTTGGCTGTTTAAAATATTTACCTATACATCTATACAATCTATACAGAATTTGACTGTCAAATTGAATGTCTCAAATTTGTCCTTCTACCTCATGTGCAACAAGTTATGCCATTTCTGCGGGGTGTGGTTTGTCCACTGCTTCTGCTTATGAAAGCCAGCAGAGCTCTTGTTCAGTGCTTTCTTGCTCATAGAAGTGATTCACTGGTGTGAATGTCAGTGGCAATACGGCACGATCTGGACAGTCTGATCAGGATGAAACTGTCTGATCAGGGTTTTTTGCATTGATTTGGGTGGAATAATTACCAGTTGATGCACAAAAATTTCAGAAACTGAAAATATTAATTTAAAATACGAAGTTTTGGTTTTGGGTGAAATGGCTTTGAAATGTCTCAGGTGGAATATTTTGATGCCATACAATTATTAATTGAGTGTTGTTTTATTAACTGAATTTTGATCTGGACAGTCTGATCAGGATGAAACTGTCTGATCAGGGTTTTTTGCATTGATTTGGGTGGAATAATTACCAGTGATGCACAAAAATTTCAGAAACTGAAAATATTAATTTAAAATACGAAGTTTTGGTTTTGGGTGAAATGGCTTTGAAATGTCTCAGGTGGAATATTTTGATGCCATACAATTATTAATTGAGTGTTGTTTTATTAACTGAATTTAGTTAATTGATAGTTAAACACCATTTTCGGTTTTGGTTTAGTTTTTCAGCTAAATGAAAACTTTACTTTTGGTTTACAGTGTTTTGTTAAAAAAAATCATTATGGTACGTCACTAAAATTTACAGATTTCAGTCTTTCCTGTGTCATACAAGTTTAATTTCCTTTGGACCCCCCAGTCGATTTTATATGCAGAAAGAACTTTCAATGCGTTCTCCATCCAATTAATGTTTTCATATGATAAATTATTAATTTTATCATACATTTTTTAATTTAATAGTTTTAGTCCGCTGAAATCTGGATTTGTTGTACTGGGTGGCCATTCTTCTTCCTCATGATTTCATCTGTTTCTCTGTAGGATGTGGTGGATCAGGATGATTATTCAGGAGTGCTCTTTCAGCTGGAGGAAGAGCCATTTTCCTGGCCAGGCCCTAAGATGCTTCGTCTGCGTCGCACTTCACAAGGCTTCGGCTTCACTCTGCGTCACTTCATTGTGTACCCACCGGAGTCTGCGGTGAACTCCAATGTTAAGGTAGTGTGCACTACATTCACTGGGGTTTCATAGTATCTGCTTTCTATCATTAATATATTTTAATTCTGTATGTTTTGTATATTTTTAAACATACAAATTAATGTAGTTTTTTTGTTTGTTCTTCTAGGATGAAGACCACGTTCGTAGAGGTAAGTTATCACTTTTAGTAACATAAAACTAACTTAATGTATACTGTATACTGTGCACTATGCACTCTACCGTCTGGTGTATAAATTTTATAAGGTTATTTTGTAACCCAGTGTACTCCTGCCACATAAGGAAAGCTATGACAGTTGAGTGCATGAAGGTTCCACAGAAGTACATGAAGTGCATGAATACAGTAGATGGGCTGAATAAAAATTTTGACAGTAGGTGGTGCTTTTGGAACAGCAGAAATATAGCGTTTCCTTGGTTCCCCTTGTTCCCCTGTAAACTCTACTAGACATTACATGGAGGTAGATTAAAAGAAACTTCTGAAATTTTGAAGGCAGTTAGTTCCCTTCATAGATACATTCATATAAACCCCCAATTCAGTATTTAGGATTTTCTTCCAATATTTTGAGCATAGCGAACAGTAGGGCTGTGTTTAATACATCGATATGACGATGTATCGTCACATACTATTTGACTATACGGGAATAGATACAGCTGTTTCTGTATTGATACCGCAGCACGTTCACAGCAGTGGACAGCGCTTAATTTGAATAAAAGAACAGCATTTAAAATGGAGTGGAAAAATGCAAGGTTTCTAAAAAAAAAAATTGAAGAGAGTATAATATTTAGGCTAAAACAAGGTTTAATCTGGCTGCAGAGGAACACAACTGGGGTTGCCTGATATAAAGAGACATAATCCCTGAAACAGAGCTTCACACTTGCGCGATACGTAAATATCTGCTAAGTGTGTTACTTATTTTTGGCAACCATGTGCTCATGCTCTCTCTCCACTGTGGATAAAAGCGCTGGCTTTCTGAAAACACCAGTAAGTTTTCAGTTTAGCGATCTCCGCTTCAATATTCTATTCTCAGAAAAGTATAATTCATCACGTGTTCATTTACGAGAAAGAGAGAGAGAGAGACTGTGTATTAGGGCTGTGCGATTTGGGGGAAAATATCAAATTGCGATTTTTTTGTATGTATGAATTCCCTCCGTTTTTCTCTATTAACAGTGAAGCTCTGGCTTTAATTGCTTCGAAAACAATGATGTTACCAACTCCTTGCTGAGAAAGATAAATCTTCAGCGGTTAAGCTATTTTATTGAAAAAAATGCTGGGCAGCGCTGAGAAGTGTCTGTGAATGTGTGTGCATAAGCTACAGTGCATTAGTTTAGAACGCTTCTAATTTTAATTTTAATTTTTTAAATGTAGTGTGTTAATTTGTGCAATGATAACCTACCAGCAAATATAAAGATGACTTTATTAATATATTAGAATGAGTACTTTACAATGTAAATTTATAAGAACAAGTACATTATTATTTATGGGCTTAAAAACAAATGCAAACAATCAGAATATTGTACCTGGTGGGGAGTGCCCAGTGTTAGCATGAAACCTATGCCATTTCTTACTGTGGTACACTTATGGAGGCCCTTCATAATGCAGAGGTCAACTGCCTGCTCTGCCAGTAGTTGGCAATGGTCCTATAGTATGCAGTGTTTAATAAACAGCTGTTCCCATATCGGGATACGTATCGCAGGGCTCTACAGTGCGACCATTTGCGACTGAAAACTACTGCGTGCGACTATGAAATAATATTTAAGAGCACCTGTGCGACTGACCCGATCAGCATATTTGTGTTTGCGCTGAGGGAGCTTCAAAGGTTCTAACGAACTTGCGTGTTTCTGCAGCATTGAGTAATGTATCACAGACGTATCCTCTCATTATAACAAACAAAGTGTTGGCAGGGTTTAAATAAGAGATTCATTGTGCAGTGTAGGGAGCTTCGTCGATTATAATGGAGTTTTGTGAGATCGCGATGAACTAAGATGAGTGACAGATTTTAATGATTATTAAGGGAGTTTGCAAATGTGATAGTGATTCAATACAACAGATCATTAAAAAAGAAGGTAATATGAAGTGACTTATATTGTCTGACAACAACACAATTGCCTTATTTTGCTCTATTTCACGTGTGTTTTTGTGTGCCAACTCTGTAGCACAAATTTATTTCTTAAATACTGATTTTATTTGATTGGTAACTTATTCTTATTCTACTTCTTATTCTACTTGTTTTTATTCTGTTGTTTTAATTAGAAATGTTAAAAAGCTTATGAATATATATTTTTGAATTTGACATAAAAGATGACATGCTTTTAATAAAGTTAGAAAAATGCCATTACAAAGGTAAAAACAAAATTCCCTGTAAATCACTTTGAGTCAAATATCGCCTCGTAATGGGAAGGTAAATTTTTTTGATTACTATTTAGAAGGTGCTCCTAAATTTTTGACCGTGCTCCTACATTTTTTAAATTAGGAGCACAAGCGCTCCTAAAAAGAAAAGTAAGCGTAGAGCCCTGCATCGTATTGTGACTTTGCTGGCAATACACAGCCCTAGCGAACAGTGAGTTTGATCTGCCTGGTACTGTATTTTCTCCACTCTCTTCTTTGCGTCCAACTTCAGCATATCCCGTCTCTCGCCTCTGTTAATGCCCTGTTTACAGACTTTGTAGTATTCCACACAAATGCCATTTTGGGAAATAGTTGCAATGCAGCTTATGTGCAAGTCTGAAACAGAGATCAGCCAAAAATAAAACACAAACCGTCCGTTTCTGATTGATGACTGGTGCATCTTACCACCCTAAAAGCTTGAGTGCAGTTGTTCCCTCAAGGATTGCCTTTTATTCAACTTTGTTTGAACTGTTTGAACTTTTGACCTTAGGTGTGTTTTTAAAAATTGCGTCATTTTGTTGCAAAAGACCTTGACTGTTAAAAATGTATTTGATGTTTTTTTCCCCCCTGCAATTTCATCCTGCTGTCAATTATGGATATGGTTATTTTCAAAATTAGCTAGATGGTGAGTTGTCTGAACGACTAGTTATCATATATGTTCTTGCATTAAGAAAGAGCTAGACAACAATATGCAAAATGCCAAAGTGTTGAGTGAACACAGGAGACTTGAGACACATTGAGAAATGCTTCTGGCACTTTGGATGGCTATAGCCTGCTCATAGAAGTTGCGTCTCTGCATTCATCTCCCTTAAAACATCCTCGCTACAGCAATACAGGCTTCTTACTTTTACTTTACTTTTACTTTTAGTCATTTAGCAGATGCTTTTATCCAAAGCGACTTACAAATAAGAAAAGCCGCGACCGCTTCCGCGGTAAACTTCTAAAGCTTCTAAATCTGCTTCAGGACCCCCCACACTGTGTTTTGTCTGTTTGACTTCATTACAGTGCAGATAACAAACTGTGACCTACATAGATTTGTTCGTTTTAAATTATAGTGAGGTTGTAATGCTCGTGGCATTTTAACAAAGCACACTGAATAGAACAAATCACATTCTTGATAAAGAATGAAGAACATGAGGAGGGAAAGAACATCTGTTTGGAAATTTTTGTTTTATTGATAGTGGAAGAATGTTAAGATTCGCCAGGTGCAGGATATAATAGTTCAGGAATGAATGTCCAAATCCAGCATCTCTCCAAAAAGATCACTGCTATATTCCATCACTGGGCCCTCAAATCATGCCCCACTTTGCTCAGAGGAGATTCATGCTGAGCTGTAGGTCTGTGAATTCTTAGTCATTATCTCTGGCCTGTTGTGGTGCACAAACCTTGTTAAATGCTCTTCTGCATGTTTGAGTCGGTGTGTTATGCAAGTATCTGACCTACATATTTCAGGGTTTCTTTAAAATAGACTAATCCAGCATAATGCTACAATGTAGAGCTGTGTAAAAGAGAAGTAATGTCACATCTCTTCTCATGTCTATAGCATAAACTGTATCCAGTTCACTTTTTCTTGTGTAGCTGCCAAGGTTTAAGGATTTGAATCCACTGCATGCTTTTACTTTGGTCATTGAAAAGCATGGAATTGAAACAGGAACTGCTACTGTGGTTCATTATATTCTATGCAGCACAAATATAAAAACTTTTTTTTCAACACCGTGTTATCTTCTGAACAATCTCTAGCTTATAAGAGGGCATAGCACTATGAAACTTGATTTACATTACCTAGAAGAGTCCAAACTAGCTCACGAGTCTTGCATAACATCACTAAAGGTGCCTCTGGGATTTGTATGCAAAACATAGTAAGACAAAAAAACGTACATCAGCATACGTAATAGTAAAATATTCTATTTGCATGGTATGCGAGAACCAGAAATGTTCATGTTCCAGGCCTGTTTTTTATCTGCCTGAAAATGTGGTTACAGGTTTGTAGTAGTGAATTTCTTTGCTGGTTTTAGGTTGTTTTTATTAACCTGTACATGGACTCATTTGTGTCTGTATTTTGCCATGTTGCCGTTGTCATTGTCCTCGTTTCATGTTCTCAGCAACAGAAAGAAACTTGAACTCCAGTGTACATATTGCATAACTGACATACATCTATGTCAAATTTCACTTCTCATGTGGTTGTGGCAAAGCAATCATTAGGATTAGTTTCATTTATCATCAGTGGTGCATTACTATTTTGAGTGTTTTGTTATTTCTGATACCTGAACACATTTTTTGGTTAGTGTGATGTTATTACTATGAATATGAATTATGTGCCAAATGCTAAAAACATGGCAGTATTGGGTGCGTTTCTTCATATTCCTGAGGTAAATGTGTTTTTATGTTTGACAACTGCAGTGTATGACAGTGAACACAAGAGGGCACATTAAATCTTTACAAAAGCTTCATATTGCTAGAGAAGCAGGGCTGTCAGCATAGTATTATCGTGGTATTTATTTGCAATATGTACTGTGTGCATAGTATGCAAATTGTCAGTATAAATAGAATTCCCTCATGACTTAATAACTGGATCTCAAACTACAACAAAGCTACATAATATTTGCTGCCGTCTGGTTTATTTATACTCCGTGTTGATGTTGGTGCTTTTCACATTTGCAAAGTATGAATATCATGCCTCAGGCTTCGAAGCATTGCAGCAATCTCTACAGGCAAGACCTCAAGAAAAAAAAAAAAGAGAAACACAATCGTGACCTGTAGCACACTCAGTCCTGTCTGGAGACTGGAGCCATTACAGTTTTACGAGGATGTCATCACCTGGGTATGGGACATTATGCAGTGACAGAAATGTTCTTGATGATCTCCTCAGTGTTGCCCTTTTCCAAATGTTGAAGCAGTTTATGGTCTCTAAAGGCTAATTTACACATGCACCTGCAGCTCAACTGCACTCTTTCAACTGATCTCAGATCTTCCATTCTTAAATTCCAGAAAAGACTGAAAGCAGCCATATGCCAAGTGGGTTTGTTTGAGTTGGTGCCATGCTGAATTATGGGCACATGAATGCTTCTAAGACTTTGATCAAACAGGTAGCAAAGTCAGTTTTTGTTTGATTCATTTGTAGTCTACAGTTGGGGGGTGGGTTTTCTTTAATGTTTTTGAAAGTCTTTTTTTTTTGTTGCTTTTTTTTAATGAAAAATACAGTAAAAATTTTAATATTGTCAAATATTATTAAAAATAATTGTTTTCTATTTAAATATGTTTTAAAATGAAATGTGTTCCTGTGATGCAAAGCTGAATTTTCAGCATCATTACTCCAGTCTTCAGTGTCACACGATCCTTCAGATATCATTCTAAGGGGCCGTTTACATGACGTTTTCAGCCAAAAACGGGAAACTTTTTATGCATTTTGACTGTGCGTTTGCACGACAACGGCGTTTTGGGGACTGAAAACGCATATTTTAGAAAACGGGTTTCAAACTTGCAAGTTTTTGAAAACGTCACCGTTATCGTTTCCATGTACACCCAATGCGGGAATCTTTGAAAACGGTGACGTCATGCGCGTGCGTAGTACATGTTAGGTATGTAAACATGCGCAGTATGTGTCGATTTTAAAGGCAAGTGTGAACAAACATACACAACAATGGCGGAGTACTGTTGTTGCTTCTCAAGAGTTTGCTAACGCTTCTTCAGCAAAGTGTGGATTTACTTCACCAATATTACAATCAACAGCGGAGACGCATCATATACATCTTATAATCGTCACTTCCCTACAGGTACTGTTTACTAACAAGGTGACAGTGCCAACTACTGGCCTGGCATACGTAATACAGCGTTTTTGGCCGTTTTCGCGGATATGTGTAAATGCAAATCGTTTTGAAAACGTTCTCGTATCCGTGAAACTTTTTAAAAACGCAAGGGAAAAACGTTTCTGTTTTTGACTACACCGTTGTCGTGTAAACATAGCCTAATCTGCTGATTTGCTGCTCAAGAAACATTTATTATTATCATATTATCAATGTTGAAAACAGTTGTGCTGCTTAATATTTAAAATAATGCTATATAGGAGCGATAACAAGGGCAGCAAAGTTGGTGCAATAAATGTGAACGGTTAAATGTGAATATAATATAATAGTAATTCTATTTTGTTGCCTGAAATCAGAAAAAATTTGATCATTAGCAACGTGTCTGAGGCTAATGAATCCGTGAATGTAGTAATTGTTCTTCAAACATTGTCCATTCTTCCCGAAATACATTATTGCTAAGCAGAATTTCAAAGCTATGTATATGTGTGTGTCCATATAGAGAGAGAGCTAAACAGATTTTAACTCCTAATTTGCTGCTTATTGATTGTAAGTAAAGCATTATAAAGCATTAATATGTGTTTTATAAGTACTAATAAACAGCCAGAATGCTAATAAGCAACTAGTTGGTGGTGAATAGCTTCCCTATTCTAAAGTGTTTGTAATGTCACCCACATTGTGCTGCTGTGTGTGTAGCTGTGTCTATTTTAACGCACTCTTAGCATTGTGCTGACATTATTACTATAGCAACCAATGTGGATATAGCGGATATTAACTGTCTGAACAAATGGAATGGCTGTGAAAAACAAATTGTAATTAGGAACAGATCAAGATCAAAACCATAGTAGCTAATTAATGAGGTTGACTGGTCTGTTTAATATTTTTTGCAGCCTCAAAGAGAGATTTAGTGTGCTGACGGTGGATTTCAAGGCAGTTGGTGTCCGACTTTGGATGGTGTATGTATTATGCAGAATCCACAGGTTTATTTCCCATTCAGCAGGCTAACAGAGAGATATTGAACAAAATAATGGGCTGTTGTGGAGAGATCCTCATTCCTTTCAGTGCAAGTAGACATGGGCCAGTGCCTAAGCGTCTCATAGCTGTCATCCTCAGGGAATCTGTGGTGTTAGTTGTTCACTGTTAGATCTGTGATCTGTGTTCTGGCATACTATGGATGAAGCCAAGTATAGCACTCCCTCAGGGACTGAGGGATGTCACATTGAATGCTGGGTCACTTCCAGATGAGGTCCAAGCATTTCCGCTCTATTAATGGGTTAAATGTTTCATTTGAAAAACTGGTGTGATTAAAATATTTATTGTGGCTCAATCTTGTGACTGCTCGCTACTTCCCGGAGCTGGTTTGTTGTGATCTGGGCCACTCGTGACTCTGCTGCTTTTGTTGTTGCCAGGGAGACCGCGGAACAGACTGGAGCCCATGGACACTATCTTTGTGAAGCAGGTCAAAGAGGGAGGGCCTGCTCACAGCGCCGGACTCTGCACTGGTAATTACACCATCATTACAAATGTACAGCACATCATTTTGTTTTGCTTATCAATGTCTGATAATCAAAAACCTGGTAATTTAACTTCATCAACAGGGGACAGGATAGTGAAAGTGAACGGCGAGAGCATCATTGGGAAGACATACTCGCAGGTCATAGGGCTCATCCAGAACAGGTGAGAGTGCGTTAGAATTCATTTAGATGTGTCCTGATAAATGTCTGATTGTGGCCCTAAATATTTATTTCCACTTCCAGTCATACATTTTTGGAGTTGTGTGTGATGCCAAAAGATGAAGATATACTACAACTGGTAAGATTTTACAGTTTTTGCATTTTTATTTGTTTGTTTTATGTGTGTCCTAACCAGGTCGCAACACAGTAAAGCAACTGTTGATCAAAGCAGCAAGTGCCCGAAACATTTTGTTGGTTGCTTGGTTTTAATATATGCGCCATTGTGCTTACAAGCCCCACCCACAGTGAAATCTCATTGGTCCAAAATCCTGCTCCACAGAGATGATAATATTACCATATTTTCCGGAAAATAAATCGCACCTGACTATGTCACTCCGAGTCAGAATTGAATTTTTGAGAGATAAATTTTTTTTTGAATTGGTCTATTTTATAAATGTTAAAATTAACATTTTATTATTAAATTGAGAAATAATGTAAAATATTAGTAAACATAAACATGTATTTCAGTTCCCCTCACTCCACAACAAATCCTTTACAGTGTACAGAACAGAACAGGAATGAGAAAATCTGAGAAATATAAGAACAAAGCAAACAAATTCTAGTGGCATTCATTATAAACTCAATTTATTATTAATGTCAGGCCTAATCAAATTTATTTAAAGTGAAACTGAAACTTCTGATGTTTGGGAAACATGCTATACAAATAAACTTGGGGCTTGTTTATTGGGCAAATAAACCTCTAATTGTCATGCTGCGCATCATTTCCATGTTCATCGTGAACAGGCAAATTGCATGTTGTTGTGCCTGGGTAGGACACAATGTTAGTGCTTCTTCAAATAAAACTGGTCGGAAGCTTCTGAATACATCATTCTAATGAGATCTCTGTATGCACTATATTTTGAGTTTGCATTCGGCAGCACTTGTTCTATTTGCCATGGAAATGAAGGTTCTGACCCATTTCAGAGGAAGGACGCTGCGGGTTGCTCTTGCTCCTCTGAGTGCTGCTTTATCTGGGACTGCTAACCAGGACACTGCAGCCTGTCCTTCTCCAGCGAGCCTCAAACTGCCGCACCATCACAGCTGCCCTCAATTACACTTCATCTGCCCTGCATTCGCTACGACACTTTCCATTACAGACTGTTTTTCATGGGTGTTGCACGTTTCTGGGTCGTATGACTCATGAATGGTGCCGTTGTTTTATCTTGATATATATATATACCAGATCGACTGTAGTTGTTAATCAAGAACTTGTTTGCGATATATTTTAGTTCCTCTATTAAGTTGCTGTGAACTTTTGAACATGCTGTGCTTTGATAGAAAATGATAAACTTGTGTGCTGTGCATTTAGTTGATGCTCTAATATAATGAAGCTTTAGAGTTTGTGGAGGTGAAGAGCAGGATGTTCTCTGAGACAGGATGGAAGCTCTCACTTCATGAAAGGCTGTTTGTGTTGAAGCAGCCGCTCAGCTGGCAGAGAGATGCCAGCTGGGGCCTGGCACATGAGCTCACTCTCTTTCTCTCTCTCTCTCTCTCTCTCTCTCTCTCTCTCTCTCTCTCACAGAGCTCTGATACAGAACCGCTGTGCAGTATATACAAATATATACAGGGCTCTACAGGGTCACCTTTAAATGCGACTGAAAAAATATTTGGGCAGCAGTGTGAGTGGCCTGATCATAGCTCATGAGTATTCTTATATTACAATTAGGGCTGGGTATCGTTCAAAAATAATTTTTTACCTAAAATACCTTGACTTCGATACCAGTTCCTGAACGATACTTTTTTCGATACCAATTTTATGAAATAAATTTTAACAAGATTACATTATCTAAAAAATTTTCAAAGCTTGAAACTTTTCAGCTTGTTGATGTTTATACAAACTCAAAGACTCATCTCCTGAGCCACTGCACAAAGGAACAAAATGTAACCAACACAATAAATCAGTGCAAAATAGTTTTAATAAAGCTCAAATAGTCTTCAGTTTGCACATCTGTTAGGCTACATTTACACTACTTAGTGTTCGTTTTAAAACGCATAGCTCAAAGTATCGAACTCGATATACCCAGCCCTAATTACAATTGGATAGGGATACACCGAAATGATACTGAGTTTAAAAAATACAAGCCAATAAAATAACCACACTTTTATTGAAAGTAACACAATAAAATTGGACAGAAAATATATTTATATTAAATATTAATATATTATTTCTATTCAGTTCTATGCAACAGAATCAGATTCAAGTAATTTTTTTTGACTAATTATCCAAATAATATAAAGTCCTACAAAGCTATTATGATCCGAGCATGTGAGCAGAGCATAGTGGGGAGCAGATCAGTAAACGAGACGGTAGAGTCATTTAACCAGCGTTGCCATGTTACAGCACAGTAGCGCTATTGCAAACAGGAGCAAGTATACTACATAGAAATTTCCTGTCGGTACGTTTTTTTGAGCGGACTTTGCTTTTCCGGTGATCATGAGTGGTTCTTGAGTGGAGCGTTCGCATGGGCCGTGACGATGGCTAGATGGAGAGTGAAACCTGCACGCTGAACACTGCCATATATTTTCAGTTCATATTTTCAGCCGTTTTTTTTCTTTCGGCCAAAAACTCCCAAAATGCATCTACATAATGCAACAGATGTTTCACTCTGCGATTGGCTGCTTTTCATGCCTTCAGTCAAACATTGAGTTGTGAAAAAGTGTGAGCTTTGAAAGTGATGGAATACACTTTAGAGACTGTATGCTATTTTTGTGTATTTATGTTTACTGGTGCTGTTGTTGTAAAACAGGTTAACATGAACAGCCTTTTTTTTTTGCAGCCTATCAAAATAAATTTGGATTATTAGAACGAGGGTCAAAATTAAACCGGGCTTGGGGCAAAAATGCCTCCAAAAATTTATTAATAAATGCCCTCAAAATTAGAGATGGGGGCAAAAAATTCTCCTGTATGAGTTCTTAATATTTTTAATATTTATAACATGATATGGTTAAGCAATGCAAGCTTGAGTGCTGTTTTCCCCAAATATCAGCACGATTACAAATGTCATAATATATTTATGCAACTGTTTGATAAACAAGAATATAATGTGACTTAAAGGTACAATATGTAAGATTTTTTTATTAAAATATCCAAAAACCACTAGAACAGTGTTATATATTTTGCTGACTTGTGTACTTACTAGGGATGTCAATTTTCGATCATTTCCATGATCGATCGCCGTTTAAATTAACGATCAATTAATCGATTAATCGTTAACTTTAATGCAGCAAAATGCGTCTATTGCAGCAGCACGCAGTCACCGGCATGACAGGATGTGCAAAACCCTCTCAAAAAACCCCCCAGCTTTCTTCCATGAACATGATTTCTGCCCGAGTCCCGTCGGATTGCATTGGCTGTGGGGATGAAGACAACAACTCCCATGATTCCACACTCAGTCACGGCGTCATCAAACTACGCCTTTGCCTCTGTTTATTTTGAATACGCGCCCTCCAGCGGCGAAAATTACATATTGTGCCTTTAACTTTATATGGTCACAATATGGTCTATTTTTGTTGTTTCGCCAACAAAAATAATTCTAAACAAAGCCAGAGCAAACAGTTATGCAAACACAGCAGTGTTTTGTTGATGAATGAATCTGCATTTTTTTTTTTCTTCGAATTAATCTGATGGGTCAATGGTCAATGTCCCATTCATATGGACAGTCAGCTTCATTTCTGAATGAATGAGCCATTTTGACAAACACAGTGCTGCCACCTACTGGTGTTTTTTTTATCGTTTTATATTTACATTATATTAATATATTAAAAATTGGCTTTTTTTAGTTAGAAGCACAAAGGCTTCTAAAAATGTAAGCATATAACCTGATATAGATTTGAATATAATAGAGATGTCAGAAAAAGAGTTTATCGAAGATTCTTGAAAGCTTTGTTTTGTTTTCCACAAGTTGTAAATGATTATAGAATTTTTGTAAAAACAACAAAAATTAAATATGACCCAAAAAAAGTTTTTAGGCCTTTTCACACTGAACATGAAAATTTGGCGCAAAGACGCTTTTGAACCGAAACAATAGATCCCTATGGGGCTATTCACACTAGGCACGATCATTCGCAGCACGAAAAAGCGAGGTATTTTTTTTTCCATCCCGTGTGTCTATTTTTTCCCCCCGCCACTCTGCAATGAAACGGGCCGTCCAATTAGATTTGAGCTTGGATCACGTGCAGCTGCTGTTGCACAAAAGGGCGAGAGTGGTGGCGCTGTTTTGAAAACCAGTGTAAACAAACATCGAAATAGAGTATCCCGCAAGAGAGAAGAGGGTGGATGCTGAGTTCTTCTTATCATTTGTATCTGATTACAGATTTTTTTCTCACATGTTCTTTATACAGATATAATTTCTTTTAATTCTCCACTGAATTATGTGATCTGAAGAGCACTGTCCGTTTTCTTCCACGTAAGCGAGTGTTATGAGTCAGAGCGTGTTCAGATCTGTCAATCATGTAATCATATCTCCTGCTAGATGTTGGTGTTAAGCAAAGACATTAATAATCATAAATTTTCAAGTGTAGCTTGATGCTAATTGTATCTCTAATTATATATTAAGATAATTAAGATTAATATCTGAGGAAAAATGCATTGTTGGTCGGCGCCACCTAGAGTGCAGTCGTGAATTAGCAGAAGGCGATCAATCGTTTCAAGCTCGGTATGAAAGCGCCGTTCTTCGGTGATTTGCCTCGCTATTTCGCATCACGCTCAGTGTGAAACAGCCTTTTGGATGAATGATCCCTTTACACATTTTGAAACCCTTATTGTTGTGGTTAAAATGCATTTTGTTCAGGCTGTGCTCAGTGGAATATAATGGAAACATAGGACTCATCCAGGTTCCTTCGGATCACTGACTCTTGTTCTAACTAGTTTGTGTGAATAATCACCCAACATCGTGTTTCTCTGTTTTATTTTAAGTCTGTTCAGTGCTTTCTAATTCGGTCTGCAGTTTCGCTCAGCTCAGTGAGCACATGGAGTCCTGCTTGTTTGCCCTTTAGATTAACTTTTAATGCGTGCCATTTACTGTTGTAAGCATCGTTTGAACTCTCTTGCAGCAGGCAAAGGCATTTCTCAAAGCACCT